GCGTTGAACGCGTTGATCTGCTGGAACCTCTCGCCACCCTCCAGGGGGGAGCCACCGTCGCCGCCATCCGGAGGTGAGAATCTGTCAAGAGGGATAACTTCAAACCCAAAATAACCCAAAAGTGTGCATTCAAGTTTTAAAAATTGTTTTATTTCAAACTCTAGCTGACTGCCTAAGGTCTGTTACCTTTTTTAAAAAGTAAACGATAAATTGCAGTAATTTTCAATTTTAAAAGTTGCTGGAGCATGCCAGTTCAATAAATGACGCTTACTGAACCATTTCTTATTAAGTCTGGCCAAAATAGTCCAATGTGAAGATAGATGAGTTGACTTAAGTTGTGTGAGACGAAAATCATACTCGACATTAGAAATACGATGGAAGAGTTAACTTATGTAAGGGTCTTGGAAAAAGTGTATCAATTCTTCCATTTATTAATCACTTTTGTTGGAACAGTGGTGGCTGTTGTCACATTATTTTGATGGCTGAGGTCCCATTATTTTGGTGGCTGTTGTCACATTATTTTGATGGCTGCTGTCCCATTATTTTGGTGGCTGTTGTCCCCATTATTTTGATGTCTGTGGTCCCATTATTTTGGTGGCTGTGGTCCCATTATTTTGGTAGCTGTTGTCCCATTATTTTGATGGCTGTTGTCCCCATTTTTTTGATGGCTGTTGTCCCCATTATTTTGTTAGCTGTTGTACCATTATTTTGGTGGCCGTTGTCCCATTATTTTGGTGGGTGTTGTGTCATTCAAAAAAAAAATATAAATAGCGCGTTAAATTAGTTGTTTTATTCTTTTTATATTTAAATAATTCTTAGCAGAGATGATCATTAATATTTTCATTAACCAATATTTTTTTTATATTCTTTGAACTAAATCATAGAACTATAAAAACCACTGTTACAGAAGGCTTCGAGCCAGAGCAAAGGTCTGACCATTACAGGACTGTGAGCAAAGAAATTGGTTTGGGGTGTCATGGGATGTGGGGTGGTGTTGGGGTGATGTGGGGTGGTGTGGGGGGGATGGGGGGGGAGGGGGGGGGGGGGGGGGGAGGTGGGGGTGGTGTGGGGGGTGATGTGGGGTGGTGTTGGGGTGATTGGGGTGGTGTTGGGGTGATGTGGGGTGGTGTTGGGGTGATGTGAGGTGATGTAGGGTGGTGTAAGGGTGATGTAAGGGTGATGTAGGGTTGTGTGGGGGTGATGTGGGGTGATGTGGGGGTGATGTGGGGTGGTGTGGGGGTGATGTTTGTGTGATGTTTGGGGGGATGTGGGGGTGATGTGGGGTGGCGTGGGGTGGTGTGGGGTTGTTTAAGGATGCAAACGATTGAAATGATCTTTTTTTTTTTAAAAATGAATTAAAGGAATCGGTCCAAATTAAGTTGCTTCCGTTGATGCATCAACCATTGCCTCAACAAGGGAATCAATCCATGAAATGTTTTATTTTTCCTCTTCTTCCAGATTATGTTTCTTAATTTTCTTAACATTGAAATTTAATTGATTATATGTCAACTTTAAATAATATAAAAAATAATGAATAGAAGATTTAAAGTAAACAAATATTCAAATAAACTAAAAGATCTCTCATACATTGAACCGGTATAAAAGTAATTAAACTTGAATGAAATCTTTCTAAGCATATTTCATACTTGAGCACGTATTTTGTTTTTACTTTTTAAAAAAAAACTTTAATTGTAGTCCCTTATATATCTTGTGTACAGTAATGACGCGGGTAACTCGGGATGAACGCCAGAATACAAAATGGTTTGCTGAATGGTGGCCCAAAAAGTGCTTTTTCCTCCAGATTTTTCAGCTAGGAACAAGCTTCCTCATCCAACCCCCTATCCCCATTCCGCTAACCCCTGCTTACGTCCAATTTCCCCAACTGGTCTCGAACCCGCGGCCCCGTCTTATTTACTTGGACGATCTTACCGAAAATTCCACGGCGTCGTCTCCTCGCACGTCCCATGCCTCGCCTGTGTCGGGCTGTGGGCTACTTCCGGGTGCGTCCGCGTCTGCCAGCCCACGAGCGTGAGAAGGACTACCCCTATGTAGAGGACAGCCGCAGTGAGCGAGACCCCGCCGAGCCTTGCCAGGGAACAGTACCTCAGTCTCCTCAACAGCAACTTCATCCCGGACTCACGGGTTTGGTTTCGTCGGCATTGGATCAATAATTTGGGGCGTTCACTGGTCTGAATTCAATTGATCACAGCAAGTGTTTTGGCAACGAATAATCTGCCATCAGTGTTACCCGTTGGTTGGAGTAGACAAAGATTATATTGACTGACTTCGCTGAGAACAATGTAAAACGAGTCATTTATACACCTAAAGAAAATGGGCGGATAGGAGTCATTGACTGAGTAAAAGTATCCTAAATAAATCTGTTTGACATCCACATCTTGCTGAGTATGCTGATGTTTTACCTCAAAAATGAAAATAAAATTTTTCGCGTTCTGATTGTTTGATTAAATAATTGTTTTAATGAAATAATAAAGTTAAATACAATATCACGGGATCTCTGTGGCCAGTGGCATAATTTCCGTGACCCAGAAAGACCCATTGACCCAGGGGGAGGGATGTTTATTAAACAGGGGGTAACGTTTGGCCATCTGACGTACGTTTGGGGATGTAACTTACGTTTGGCCATCCGACGTACTTTTGGCCATCTGACGTACGTTTGGCGATGTAACTTACGTTTGGCCATCCGACGCACGTATTGTGATCTGACGTACGTTTGACCATCTGACGTACGTTTGGCTATCTGACGTACGTTTGGCCATCTGACGTACGTTTGGCCATCTGACGTACGTTTGGCCATCTGACGTACGTTTGGCCATCTGACGCTCGTTTGGCCATCTGACGTACGTTTGGCCATCTGACGCTCGTTTGGCCATCTGACATACGTTTGGCCATCTGACTTACGTTTGGCCATCTGACGTACGTTTGGTGATCTGATGTACTGCTGGCGATGCAGCTGTTGCCACACCCCCCCCCCCAACCTATTTTCTTTTTTTAGCAGTGTGCAAATAATGACTTTTCATTGATATCAAATTGATTGGGATGCGAGCCCATTGATTATGTGCGGCTTTGAAATATAGAATTTAATGTGACGTAAAAACCATCTGATTGTTTTGTTTATTCCCAAATCAAGTATGGAATGAAAATGACCATTAAGAGAAGATATTCTGAAATGGTATAATCCATGAAACACAGTTCAATTTTTAATGATTGGAGTAAAATATACTCGGATTTTCAAAAGTAAAACACAACCAAAAAAAATGCAACAAACACTGTAGACGATAAGTTTACAAAGAACACAGTTTACTTAGTATACAAAGAACACAGTTTACTTAGTATACAAAGAACACAGTTTACTTAGTATACAAAGAACACAGTTTACTTAGTATACAAAGAACACAGTTTACTTAGTATACAAAGAACACAGTTTACTTAGTATACAAAGAACACAGTTTACTTAGTATACAAAGAACACAGTTTACTTAGTATACAAAGAACACAGTTTACTTAGTATACAAAGAACACAGTTTACTTAGTATACAGGAGTATCGCGCCGACCGCGGCAGAAGATCTGGCTACCGAAGATCTTAGTTTTGCTTCAAATACCCTCTCCCCCCCCCCACACAAAACAAAACAAAAAACAACCCAAACCAAACACTGAGCTAAGTCCAAGGCTTATTGACTGCAGAGCAATATACCACGTGATGCCAAACTAAGGCTAAAGGTCAATGCTAATATTCTCTGATGACATCAAAGTTGATGGTCTGTAAGCTTAAAATATTACTAAGGTGTATAAAAAGAAAAGAACAATTATCAGTAATTCTTTGAGAACTTGCCTGATTGAACGCTCATCTGTCTGTTGGTTTTGTTCAGTATTTCTAAATCGATTGTCTTGAATTTAAACGGTCCTTTTTAGCACTAGGACAATCGTCCTTTGATAACGTGTGCTCCGGAAGAGCATACTTTCTTGTTCTCGCGTTAGTCCGAACCATCTCGTGACGTCTTCAGAAAAAATAATAATATGACGCAATTGACGTGTTGCAGAATAAAATATAACATAAAAATTAATGCATTGATTAATGTCTATAAAACAAGCCCGCACAACTCAAAATGTAAGCCGGGCCGTAATACTTTATGAAAAACGTTTGCGGGCCAAAAGAAAATAGGAAAGGTAGGAAGCTATTAAGAAGTTAATAAGAATAAAGAATATTTCTTTACTTCGCGGGCCGCAAAGGGGGCGCTGGCGGGCCGCATGTGGCCTTCGGGCCGTATGAAGTGCAGGCCTGCTATAAAATAAATATGCAACCGATCATATTTAATTTGACTGAAAACAGAAGACAGATCAACAAACAAACAAAAAAATGCTTCATACCAGCAATGCCGTTAAGCCAGTTCCATAATGATGTGTTCCACTTAAATTCGACATAAATACAATCAACTTGTGCACGTCTTGATTATCACATACCAATTTCTGTTAGTGTCTCAAATGATAACAAGAGATATTCTACAGGGTCTTCAGTTTCAGTGGCGAAATAAAGCTTACACAAACACCTTTTACCATTTAAAAAAAAGAAATTATTTTAAAAATATCATGATTATTTTTTGAGTGGACTGTGAGCTTCCGGAAGGCACCACTTCGATGGAAAAAAGACCAGTGACGTAGCTAGGGTTATTCCCGCCCGGGGAGGCCTAGAATTTTGCCACCCCCTTCACTGAAAAAAAACCACCAACAAAGCAACAACTGTTGTTGGGCCGAAAATGCCACCCCTCCATCGTCATCTCCAAACTCTCTTCCTATGCCACCACAAAAGTCTGATACTGATTTTTTAAAACAAAAGTTTGGAATTTAAAAAAAAAAAAATTGGCATAGAGTCACCCTTGTGTTACCAAAAAATATCGGGGGCAAATTTGCATCGGTGGAACCAGTTTTGTGAAGATAGATGGAGCATAATATTTTAATCGCTTCCACATCCAGCAATAATCCTAGGGGGGGGGGGGGGGGGGGGGGGGGGGGGGGGGGGGAGGCGGGCCGGGGGGTGTTTGGTCGATTTCATAATTCATCGCAGCTGGAGGGTCTCATGGTGTTGGTATTAACCACCGTTACCTTTACGATTATTGGCGCTTAAGGTGTAATTGCATTGAACTGGGTTCGCTAAAAGGATTCCTGGTCGGCTTCGGCAATCTAGAACAAGAAGCTCCAGCATAACCTGTCATTTAAAGATATCTTAATTGTTAGGGGCTCCTACATCAAATGACAAGGGACATCTAGATCTTTTACGCAATAGTATCGTTGTTTTTTTCCAAGATAATATTGTTGAAACTGGAGTTCATGCTATTGTTGTTGATTTATAAGTGAACTCCTTTTGGGAATTGAAATTCGATGCGAAATTTAGACCGTGCCATGTAAGTGCTTCACTAAATAAAAACTACCAAATACAAAAATTAATAATGTCAAAAGAATATTATGGAATGTACGGAATTCTTTTATTGCTCTTCACCCAAACCAGTGGTTCTCAACTTGTGGGTCGCGACACTTTTTTGGGGTCGAACGACCCTTTCGCAGAGTTCGCCTAAGACCAACGGAAAAAATAAACACTACAATTATGAAAAATGTAACAAAAATAATTTTGTGGTTGGGGGTCGCCGCAACATGAGGAACTGTATTTGAGAGTCGCGGCATCAGGGAGGTTGAGAACCACTGATTCAAACACCATAACGGCAATGTACGGGCGCGAGATTGAAAATACTTTGTTGTTTTCCCACCATCACCCAAAATTATTACATAATATCATTTTCGGTGGAACCATCTCACAGGCGCGGCACACAACAATTTGACTCGTATTTTTAATTAAAAAGGGTCACCTTTTGTAACATAGTTATGAAAGATAACATATAACATATATAACATAACATTTATGAAGTGATTACGATTTTATTAATTTTTTAATAATTATAAACATCTTGGATTGCAATGATGAATCACTCCTTACAATGATGAATCACTCCTTACAATGATTAATCACTCCTTACAATGATGAATCACTCATTACAATGATGAATCACTCCTTACAATGATGGATCACGCACTACAATGATGAATCGAGCCCTAAAATGATTAATCATGCACTAAAATAATCAATACTGCACTTCTATTATGAATCATGCACTTCTATAATGAATCATCCCCTTGCAGAAGACAACGTTTATACCCTTGGCACCAGCTTATACACGTATACTCATCAAAAACGTATGATCAACACACAATGTTTCTAATAGGGACCTCATGTGTGCGATCTCCTGTTGGGTAATCCTGACAATGTTTCTAGTAGGGACCTCAGGCGTGCTATCACCTGTTGGGTAAACCTGACAATGTTTCTAGTAGGGACCTCAGGCGTGCTATCACCTGTTGGGTAAACCTGACAATGTTTCTAGTAAGGACCTCAGGCGTGCGAGCACTGGTCGGATAAACCTGAGTAACGACGTGTCCAAAATACAGTTCGTGTCGCTTATCATTTTATAAAAATGCTGGACAACGGCCAGATCGACGCTGACCACCGTGAATGGGGCGTGGTCTCTGAGCGCGTGCGTGTAGTGAATCCCGGAGAATATCACGTGCTCCGGACGAACAATCGTTTTCGAGCGGTCATTGAACTTGTAAGTCCAGTTGACCCGCATCACATGGAGGAAAAGGATGATGGAGTTGTTGGTGATGAACTGCTCTTCTTCGCCTGAGATGGAAAAGTTTTTCTTGAGCTCCTCCCATGTCGTGAGGTCGGGCATCCCTTTGTTTAAAGTGGATTCGAAAGAGTACGATGCGTAAGGACTCGTATCATCACGCACAGACGAGTTCGTTGTGGAGTCTCTGTCGGATTCGATGACGTTGATGACCTCGCCCCACGAGCTGTGACGCGTCGGTACTATGAGCTCGTCCGTGTCCTGTATGACGACGAACCGGGACACGAACCTGTTCCTGTAGACGCAGTCGTTGATGGCCAGGTTCTGGCCGTAGTACCAGATGTCCAGAGTAGGCAGCGACCACGGCAGGACGGTGAGGAGCCCGAGTCTCTGGTAGTGACGCATCGCGGCGTCCGTGGCGTTGCAGACGCTGTAGTTGTACACGTAGAAATGCTCGGCGCCGAGTACTCGGTTGATCTCGATGGCGTGGACGAGCCGGGACGGATGTTTGTAATCGTGGAGAGCAGCGAAGCAGACCGCGAACTCGCGCCGAAATTCTCGTGGTTGTGGGTAGGTCACCGCTAGCCGATTGCTCGGTCTTTCGGAGACGTTGAATGTCAAGGACACGTAGTCTGGATAGCTGCTGTTACTAAAAGAGCACATGTAGCAAACAGCCCAAAATCTGTGGGGAGGTAAAAAAAAAAAAAGCAACAAAAGTACATTATAAAATGTAACAATGAAAACCAGGCGACACAGAGATGAATAACAAGTTCGGCTGTGATGACCTCCTCTGTTTTTCTTTTTTAAGATAAATGAGTAGATATGAATTAAGTTACAAGTTGGGTATCCCCGATACTTCCGACATTATCTTGTTGCATTGGAGTACGATTGCCTAGAAATTTAAAAAAAAAAAAAACTTATTATGTTCTGGGGTTAAAATCCTTTTAGGTTGCCCTGCTCTTATATCTTCGGTTGGGGCAGTCATTTTGGCACTGTAAACAAGTGTTGGATGACAACACAGTGAATTGAAATTAAAGAAACTATTCAGATTGAAAGTATACGTGGGATTTAGTTTAGAAACATGAAATAGGAATTCGGGGCTTTTCGTAGGTGGAAGAAATGGGAAGTGTCCCATAAAAAAATGGCTGAATTTGTTAATAAAATAAGGAAGTTTGTTTAGCGGGTTAAAATTATGATGACCTATTGGATGAGATGTTGGATGACCTTTCGAATGACCTATTGAATGAATGACCTGCTGGATGACCTATTGGACGACCTTTTGGATGACCTAATGGATGACCAGTTGGATGACCTATTGGAATGAACTATTACCCAGAATTGTGTCCGTCAGGCACTGTTTCTCTGGTTCCATTCACAACAATCGTACTTCCGTTCTCCTCTAGATGACACTGGACGGGGTGGTTATCAAAGTATTTCCCAATGGCGAAAACCTTAATGGTATAAACTGTCTGATTGGCTGGATCGAAGTAGGCGGAGTAAACCCAAGCCTGGTGAGCGTTGATTGGCTGAAACGTTTCGTCGCCATGTTGGCTTTTGTTCTTGTAATGGCCAAATCTATTGATGAGACAGGATTGGTTGAAATAAGAAAAAAAATAAAATGGTGAAACTCATCATACATTTTATTTAGCCTCAGAATTGTTATAAAACAGAGCAACCAAGAATTTGAGATGAAGACTTAGGCTTGAACTGAAATAAGATCTCAGGACAAAGTCTCGCTAGCTTAAGACTCACAAACAAAAGTCTCCCACACTGAAGTCACTCACACTCACAACTTGGCCCAAAAACTAAATTCTGTGTAATGTTTTGCCCCCCCCCCAAACCTGCTACCACGCTATATCCATTTGTGTGTGTTTGTGTTAGTTATTTCCGCTAACGCACTAGTCTCACGATACTTTCATCAGTAGTTCAAGAATTTTCAGAAAAATTAATAGATAGTTAATTAATCTAGTGCAATTTCAGCTGATAATTTTTAAAAAAACACACACGTCTGCACTGTTGTTGATCTCATGCATTCAATTCCAAACTACGCCACACACACAGTTGAAGTTATAACTGCAATCAGACCGTGCTCCTTTATTTTCAATGAATTGAAGCATCTGACGCCCATCATAGTCACGCACCTAAAGCATAATATGAATTGATTAGAAAGCTGATTTTTTAAAAAAAATAACCACTGACCTGTATCTTTGTGAGAACCATTCATGTCGATGATCCGTCCATGCTATCCAATGACCACTTCGACCGCTGGGTGAGGTATCGGCAACATGTCTTCGGCCAGCGCTGGGCAATGGGAAGCCTTGCGCTATCAAAACTCCAACCAAAAATGTTTTGTTCAACGACGCCATGATGAGAGTAGCCACGAAACAGACAAGGCACACGGCGAAGAACCATTTCACTTTGGGCATCATTGATGGGCAGTAAATTTCAATGGCGAGAGTGGGGGAAGAGTAAATGTTTTGTTCAACGACGCCATGATGAGAGTAGCCACGAAACAGACAAGGCACACGGCGAAGAACCATTTCACTTTGGGCATCATTGATGGGCAGTAAATTTCAATGGCGAGAGTGGGGGAAGAGAGGTTGTTTACTTTAATGATGAAACTTGTAAAGACAACACGGGCCTCTAAGTTCTGTGACTGTGACGTCAGTTGTGTCTATTGGTGTAGTCTGTAAAGCTATCCTTAGGACAAAATATTTGGATAAATGTTTAACAACAGATATAAATAGTAGCTTAGTGACTTAGGCTGCCAAAGCGTCTTGTATGGCAGTCCCAGTGTCTTCTATGACAGTCCCAGTGTCTTCTATGGCAGTCCCATTGTATTCTATGACAGTCCCAGTGTCATCTATGGCAGTCCCATTGTCATCTATGACAGTCCCAGTGTCTTCTTTGGCAGTCCCAGTGTCTTATATGGCAGTCCCAGTGTATTCTGTAGCGGTACAAGTGTAGCGAGGAAGTAACATAGTGAGAAGGCGATAAGACGTAGGAAGTGACTTAGCTAGAAAGTGACTTAGCTAGAAAGTGACATAGCTAGAAGGTGACATAGCGAGAGAATGACACAGCTACATGAAAGCGACAACGAGAAAGTGTCATGGCGAGAGATCGACGGTAGCGAGAGTGTGAGTTCACGCAAGGACAATATACATCACTGAAGTAAGACGTAGTGAGAGTGTGAGTTCACGCAATACAATATACATAACTGAATTAAGATTTCGTAAAAGAGACGTAAGTAAGCGAGCAAGAAAACTTGAATTTCTGTTGTTGCTGTTGCAGCTGTTGTTGCTGCTGTTGTTGCTGTTGTTATTGCTGTTGTTTTATTGTGTTTTTTTTTTGGTTTGTTTATTATTTGGTTTGTTTTTTTACATATCTCCTAATTGTATATAATTTTTAAAGCAAGCTTTCATCGGTGCATCGTGTCAACACTAGAAAAATAAAAGTGTATCTGAAATTCTATCAGACGTATTACAGAATGTGGACACATTAGTCAATATTAAAACTGTTTTATTTCATTGGTAATGGCGTAAAAAGTCAAAGTATCCCCTTTCAAGAAATAAAAAAAACAAAAAAAAACTTAATCTCATTGCATCAAAATTGAAACGGAATTCCATTGCGGAATAAGAAAACTTAACACAATCCATGCATTGCTTTGTTTTAAACAGAATCTAAACATTTACTACATACCAACGTTTTTGTGTCAAACCACTCCATTTACGTCTTAAACACAGTTCGCTTGGACCACTTGATGACGTAGCGACCATATCCTGGATGCTAATTTAATGCTATGGATTATGAAGACTTAAAAAAACTCTTATAAAAAATACTTGGCTAACGAAACCATGATGAGATAAGACACGAAAAAAACCATAGCAAACACTGTATCCATCACGGCACTGATTTCCTGTACCAACGCGCCGCCGAAAAACAACCTAGTTCAGAATTTCGGTACAATTTTACTAAATGGAATTAATAAATTATTCTCCTGTTCTTTTCTTATTTCATATATTTTACATATCTCCAAACTATTTTTATCCGTTAAGATCATATTTTTTCCAGTATTAATACATAAATTTCTTTACTTCCTAAAAAAAAAACATCTTGGTTTAGTAAGAACCCAATTGCCGTCAAAAACAACGGCAAACACTAATTTAAAAAAAACAAACTTGTTTCTATTTCTTGTTGTATTTTCCAATGTCTTGTCTGCCGAGGAAGGCTCTTAGCTGAAAAGTTTTTTTCTCATTGTCCTGTCTTTCGATTCAAACTTCCAAATATATTTTTCTACCATTTCCATTTCAAATAGAAATACCATTTCTCTTACCTTAATGGATCCTTCTGAGGGTGACGCGCCTTTCTCCTATGAGCGGTGAGAACTTTGATGAATACGTACGTGTAGATAGCGCGTGTCTACGGCTTCTGTGGCGTCAGTGGTGTCCGTTTGTCTTCATGGTGCTCCAGAAGGCCAAGTAAAAATGTCTATTGAAGTTTCGTCGTATGTACAAAGTTTAAAGACAATCTCAGACTCGAAGCTCTTGTCTGTCATCTTTTCGCAGCTCGCCCAGTCTTCCAATGTGCTAACAGTTGACCGGATGATCACCAATATGGCTTCTATTGAGCTCGCCGCTTCGATTTTAAATGTTTCTCAAACTGAATACCAATAATGTTGAGCGTTGTAAGAAAACAAATATGTTAAACCAGCGGTTCCCAACATTTTTTTGACACCATGGACCCGATTTGGGCAAGGAATTTATTTTACACTGTACTTGGGGGCCCCTGGGGGGGGGGGGGGGGGGAGGGGGCCGGTTTTTGGTTAATTTAAGGGGCGCAAAAAACAAAAAAAAAAATGGGGGGGGGCGGGGGGGGGGGGGGGGGGGAAGGGGTCTGTATTTGGTTTAATTCAAGTGCGCAAAAAACAAACAAAAAAAACGCGCTCAGTATCACCATGCGAGCCCATTTTCGTTACCGGTCCACGGTTCAGTGGTTTCGGACCCTTGTGCTGAACGATGCAGATTCATCGTGACGCTAATCACGAGATAGCTCAGTGAATAGAGTTGTTCATGTCTAAGAAACTCATTTCTCCCCAAAACACTGGATGATACTCTGTAACTGACAACGGAACGTATACACTCAGCTAATCCTACACAAGATGTGAGGACTGTTTTAGAACCCTTTAGAGACCCGCCTCTGGCTTTTAACCATTAGCGCTCAAACACTCAATCCAGTTTAATATCTATTATGCATAATAAAATAATTTTTGATGACACGACTTCAACAGTGTTATCATGATTTTTTTCGTTTTATATTGGGCTCATTTTAAACAGATGTCACATGACCATTTCTTTTCTGTCCCAATAAATAACATTCTGCATCAATATTTGAGATGATTTCACACACCAATTATTTTACTATGCGATGATCCACTTTTATTCGTCTACCTCAGATATGATGGTAGGCATTAAGCGGATTAAAATATATGTTGACAAGTTAAGTATAGATCAATAGCCTTCGCCTTACGGCGTCAAAGAAAATGAGTCCCCCGTCTACATCGCACTGAACACAGATTACGTCCCTTATACACAACCCTGCACTCCGCGCCCACCTTACGTCCCTTATACACAACCCTGCACTCTGCGCCCACCTTACGTCCCAAAAAACATTACCCCGCACCCACCTACATCACCCTATACACCACCTTATGTACCGTGTACTTCGACCCACTACCATCTCACTACTTCGAACCCTGCTTTTGTTTCGGACAACACTTACTGACCAATGGTTGCCAAGGGTTGCCACGGGTTGCCAAGGGTTGCCACGGGTTGCCATTCAATAAAAGGACGTTATAAAGTAAGCTCAAACTTTATGGTCACGTGACATCATACGGATTTTTACATCGATAAAATATCTGGAAGATTTCTTACCGAGTTACTGACTGATCTATTTTCTAAAATGTTAACCATTATTAAAGATTAATAATATGTAAATTTATGTGTCAACAAAATACAACAGTTGACAGCCTCTGACAGCAGCATATGTAAGGGAATTAGAATAATGTATTTGTTTGTGGTCTTCTGCATTACAGTTATAGCAGTCATGGGGAGTGTGCTTAAGTTTGTGGTCTTCTGCATTACAGTTATAGCAGTCATGGGGAGTGTGCTTAAGTGTGATGGTCTTCTGCATTACAGTTATAGCAGTCATGGGGAGTGTGCTTAAGTTTGATGGTCTTCTGCATTACAGTTATAGCAGTCATGGGGAGTGTGCTTAAGTTTG